AAAGCTAATAAGCTTTCATTCTGTTTACTTATGGTAGCTGCAAGCTGTCCGTTTATATTTCACGATTTAATTCTGAGTTATGTCATTGCAGCAGGGATTAAATCATACAAAGCGCCACAGCCAGCCGGATTTCCTCAAACTGTGTGTCAGGGTCTGTCGTGTTCCTGATTTAGTGACGACAGTGATTGTTTTTTTTTTATTTTTTGGGTGGGGAGGTAGGGGAAGCCTAATCTGCTACTTTCTACTCTTGTAACAGTGCAAGAGCTGGATATTTCATGTGCAAAGTTAATCTCACCAATTGGTTGATTTAATCATTGTATCACATCTTTGGGTTTCTCCTGATTTACAGCGGGCCGTTGGGAAAAGTCTACTTACGATGGGAAGCATAATCAGTCCTTCAATCTGTGTTGCATTATTTGACAGAAATCCATCTATTTTCCTTCTATTTCTGACCATTTTATGAACAGAAATGTTCATTATATGTGAACAAATGAATTCCAACCAACAAAACTGGTTCAAAATATGCATATTTACTTAATATTCTCAATTTGTATTATTTTGCTGATGGGGCTTTCCCTTTGATGTTTGGTAATTCCTCTTCTGGGGGGTGCTAGAAACTCATCGTTGCAAGAAAAACTGGAAATATGTGAAAAATGAAAAAGGCAGTTGATCTACAGTCACTGTGTAGAAAATCTTTTGTCATTCCTTGTCACTCTGATGGTTAACTAAAGAGATGTGCTTGCAGGCTTTTTGTTATTTTCAAAGCCTCTCTCCACATTGGGTTTAGATCAAAATCAAAGTCATTTCATGGTTTTGATAAGAAGCCAGTAGCATTCTGAGTTCGTCCATGACAATGTGTGTCATCTCAGGCTGGATGACACCCCTCTATCACATTTCACATGAATAAAGGGGCTCATTGGCTCCACGCAGTGCAAAAAGGAGAACAAAAATACTTATGTCAACGGTGAAGAAGTAATTCAGTCGAAAATGCTGTGTAATCTTCCCTTCTCTTCTCTCACCAGGAAGAACTTTCTTGTGTGACTCTTTCTACTATTGTAATTTTTGTGTAACATTTTTCCTGTTTTTTTTTTCCATATTTGTTTTTTTAACCATTTTTTTTTCTTTCTGAAAGAGAAAAGGTTAAGAACTCCCTGCAGCTTCTGTACATTTCCTAAATGAAGAATCTGAACCCTCCATACCCGTTGTTCACCTTATAAAGCTCTCATATGAGATTTATGTCATCAAGAGGCAAATGTCAAGTCAGATTAGCACCACGTTTGTGTCTTAGTCGTGAATGCAGGGAAGACTTGTCTCCTCCATCAGAACTGAAAGTTGTACCCCTCTATCCTCGCCTTGTTTTTGATCACCATAGGCCTTTAGGCAAATAGTAATATGATAGGTCACGTCATGAAGAGATGGCCTCCCCGAAACGCCCACATTCATGCAAGCCTAAACTAAAAAACAAGGCAGCCCTACAGTTTATGAAAAAATATCAATGATTGTAGATTAGAGTTGAAGGTTGCTCAAAGGATTAACACGGCCAGCAGCTTTGTGAAGCTGTAATGCGTCACCACACACCAGAGAGCATCGTCAAGGTTTAGAGGAAAAAGGGAGCGAACCATTTTTCCCACAAAGTTCTTTTCATTCTTGTCCACAATGTAAAGACAGACCCAAGCGTGACACCACAGGAGAACTGGTTGTGCTCTGTACATCGGTCATTGTTGGACATCCCAGACTTTGTCCAAGCTGACTCGACTCAGCTGTCATTAGTCAGAGCTGCTACATTTGTTTGAGATGTAAAGGTCCTATATGCTGAAAATGTATTTCACTGTGTTTTATAAACTTTGTGACGTGAAACAAAGCTGTGAGATGTGAGGAGGCCTGGTACTCCAGCTCTCCCACAACTGTATAAACTCCCGGATTTTCAAGCCAGTAAGAACTTGATCCAGTTTCTCTGAAGATGCTGAGTAACCAAAAGTCATTGAGCTAAACATTAGTGTAATCCTGCCTCCTCACTGTCGTCTTCTTCTGAGATTATCCATTCAGAAAGAGCAGCTGCATCACAGTCCAACAGATTTATGTGCTTTCTAGAGCTGCTTCTGTGGACTATAAAATGAACAAATCACACCCAAATGCTCTGCTTTTGGTTGCAAGAGTGAACATAATGGTCTCCATGCGCTCCCATCACCGATCATATACCAATCATAATAATAGGTTTATTTATAAAGTGCTTTTTAAAACACAGGGTTACGAAGTGCTAATCCAAAAACGTAAAACACAGTTTTGATAAAATATAGTACAAAGTTAATGTGATGCAATTTAAAATTAGTTCAAACATACATGTATACATACAACACAAGCGTAACACGCATGCATAAAACACAAAGTATCAACACAGGAAAAGCACAGAAAAGGAGAACAGAGAGAGGACAGGGAAGACATGAGGATAACGACACGCAATGACACCTTAAAGGAAGGCTAGCCTAAAAAAAAAAAAGTGGGTTTTTAACAGTTTAACAGTCTTTCAGGCAGCTTGTTCCAGAGTTTAGGAGCAACAACCTCAAAAGCACGGTCACCTCTAGATTTAAAAAGGGAGCGAGGAACAACCAAGAGGCCTTGATCGTTGGACCGGTTGGGTCAGCTGGCAGAGTAAGATTTAATAATTCATATATATATGGAGGCTAGGCCATGAAGGGCTTTATAAGTAATTAACAATATTTTAAAGCTTTTTCTAAAATTTACTGGGAGCCAGTGAAGGGAGGCCAGATTGCCAGTGATGTTGGATTTATGGCTGGTTTTTGTTAAGTGTTGCTGCAGAGTTTTGAACTAGTTGAGGACGAGTTATGGAGGAGTGCATTATGCCAATGAACAGGGAGTTACAGTCGTCAAAGCGTGAGAAAATGAAGGAATGTACCAGGAGATCCTTTTGCTTGGCTGACAGTAGTGGTTTGATTTTAGCAATGTTTCATAGTTGGAAATAGCAGGTTTGAATAAGTTTGGTGATGTGGGCCTCAAAGTTTAGCTGCTGGTCAAATATGACACCCAGGTTTTTAGTGGTTGATCTGATATTGGCAGATAGTGGGCCAAGACCTCTGTTTTATCTTTATTAGGGAGAGAGAATTATTTGACATTCAGTTTGTAACTGATTCAATACAGTCATGAATGGTATATATGTTATTGAAGTTATTTGGGCTTACTGAAAATTAGAGTTGCGTGTCATCAGCATAACAGCGGTAGGAGACGCCACTGATAGTATTAAGCAAATGACCCAGAGGCAGCATGTATAGGGAAAAGAGAACTGGTCCCGGAATCGACCCCTGAGGAACCCCACATACAAGGGAAGCAGAGGAGGAAACATAATTATTTATGTAAACATCAATAGGTCAGAGCTATGCGGAAAGATCAGAAATAGTGGAAACTGTAAGCGATTTGAAATCAATAGTCAATTATTGGGTGGATGGCTGTGTTTTCACCTTACACCCACACACTCAGCTGGCGTTTACATCTGTTAATACAGCCAAATCCATCATAAAGCTGTTCTCATTTACATATTTTTCTGTTTCTGTATCAGACAATAGAACAACTATAAAAACAGTGCCTGAAAAGAAGTTAATTATGACTACATGTTCACTGGCAGTCACTTTTCAGCTGCTGCTCTGCGATGCTGAAACATTGATTTGAATACCGCAACACTGTCTGACAAAACAAGAGCAGTGCTATTAATATGTCGATATGCCCATAATAAACGATCGCTCAGAAAGAAGGTTAGAAGTGACCAAATGTCACAGTCTCTGAAGCTCATCCACGCCTGTGTCAGCTGCTGTAGTCAACTGGTTTTCTCCACACTGTCAATCACAGTCACAGAGAGTCTTCTTCCTTAAGTTGGCGTGGACGGCAGCAGCAGCTCAGTTGTATTTAAAGCTACACCCTGTAAAACCGGGAGTTATAGAGGCGTGGTGAAATGAACCATCTTTGTGGTGTTCTGAGCTGAAAATGAGAAGACATATTCTGGGGATGTTTCATTAATTTGCTAAAAAAAATAAAAATGAAAAAAAGAAAGGCATGGGACCTGTAATGCTAACGTATTAACAGATTAATGATGAGAGTGTGTCACATAGGATTTTGAACGTCTACATGTTTGAAAGATGTATGAGGCAGTTAATCCACAGTTTGCATCTCCAGAGAACTCTGGGTGAGTTCTGCTTCAGAAGCTCATTAGTTGAAGATGTCTGGCACAGGAAATCTGATCGTCACACATATTTACAGATATGACTTCAAAGCTTAGCCCATAAACGTTAAACTGCAACTGAGACTGACATCAATTAAGGTGTATAAGCCTCTGAAACCTGAAGGCTGCCAGTGGGTTAGAAAGACATGTTCTCTTTCATGAAAATTACACCATTTATCAGAGCCAGAAACTGAAAACACGGTTGCTCAACTACTTATGTGTGGTGTCTGGTTCCATTGTTGAACTTAACCAATTCTACACCTAACATTAGGATATTTCATCAAAATCAATTAGTCAAAAAAATCATTTGCAAAAACTAGATTCTTTAAAAAACCAAAAAAATCTGTACTTTTCAGTGCAACCACAAGCCAAAATATTCCTTTCGGCTGGACTGTTTTTAAACTCACACACTTCAGTTACACTTTAAAATACCTAATTCTTTAATATTCAAGTTTATTTGATTCTTTTTTAAATGTTCTTTTGGTATTGTAGCTATGTTAGACCAAATTACAGAAGACATTTTTGAGTTCTCTCTACTTTTAGCCATGGTTGTGGTGGTTGGTTTCCTTCGACCTGAGGTGGAGTTAAATTTTTTTACCAACTTTCCCACGGGTCCATCCAGTAGCTGTTGAAGTGTTCCAGTCTGGACCAACTGACTCATAGCACGCTCTCTGTGACCACGCTGCCAGCTCAGTTAAACGTTTCAAGCTTTGACACAAGTCATCACAATCAAACGACACACAGAAAAGCTACTAATTACTGTCCTGCTCACCTGTAATTATGTTGTCCAGAAGCGTCGTGGGCATGCAGAAAATCCCAACCAGGAGGTCACTCACAGCAAGGTTTAGGATGAACAAGTTGGTAACAGTTCGCATGTTTTTGCTCCGCAGCACGATGAAGCACACCACCGCGTTCCCCACCATGCACACGAGGAAGATGAGCAGGTAGGACACGATGAAGATGGCGGCCGTGGACGGCTGGTGCAGGTAAAATCCAACATATGTGATGTTGTTCCGGGGTATGACGTACTCCACGGAGGAGTTGTAAAGCGTCCAGTTGTCATACAGCTGAGTCGAGTTGTTGTCAGGTCCTTCGTTCATTTTAAACCTATGAAATGAAATCAGACGACTTTGTGGTGAACTAGCTTATGTTAAAGTGCAAATTCAGAGAATGAGAAAGTTGTGCGAGCTTGAGAGTTTTTCAAAATGTTTAGCTTTTCTATTCACTGAAATTCCATGTACTTAGTTGAAGTATAACACAAAGCTCTGAAGGTGACTTCATTGGCATTATGGGACAATACTGCATTTTTCTGCATTTGTGCTAAAAAACCTTGTCATAAATTAACATCATTACATTCTGTTGGTAAAACTTTTCTAAAACCTTTAAAAAAAAAACAACCTCATGACATGTCTGATGCCACAATGATAAAAGACATTCTTTTACTCAGTGAAACCTCAGCAGTGCATCGAAGCTCATCTGTTGTCAGTAATACCTGGTGGACCGGAGCGTGTGCAGGGTTTATTTCATCTGTCACAACTCGTTTTATGATTTCATTTGGTGTTTTTTGTGCTTGTGTTCCGTTATTGTGGTTGGATTTGCTGTCAGATCTGTGAGTCTCGATTTTCAACCTCAATCAACATTTTCTTTAATGCTATGACAAATTAACTGTGAAACAAATGAATTATCCAACCAGAAATGATTAAATTGTTTTACTTAATAGTGAGCTTTTAACTTTTAATTCCAATATAATACTACTATAACTTTAATAAAGTATTTCAGCACTATGATCCTGTTATATTTATCACTTCAAAGCCACATTGTAAGTCCAACTAAGGAGGACTTTTGAACAGTTCTTCATTCTGTACCGAGTTGTTTTTTTTTTTTTTTTTAAATGCTACATCAAATAATGTAAACAACTGAATGTCTAGTTTGTGTTCAGAGTGCAAGCAGGTTGGATTTGCATCGACAGCCCACCTGGATTAGTGGGCTGAACCTGTGAACACCCATCTTTAATTTAAACCACCAAACCAAACAGAAAGCGCAGGTCTACCTTTTTTAACGTTTACTCAACGCTTACTCATTTATCTCCAAACTAACTGGCTGTTGGACAAAGACAAAGAAGTCGTTGGCGTGGCTGCATTTTGTTCAAATGAATGTCCGACAAAGTCGAGTGTAAACTTTGGTTTGTTGTCACAGCTCAACAACCAACACGGCAGATCATCTAAAAACAGCAGCTAACTCATCTGTGTTTTTTCCTGAATGATTGTTTTTGCTCTATCACCAGATTATATATTTCTGTTTTCAGAGATCATATGAATATTGACCAGACCAGGTGCACATTGGTCTGCTGAGTCTGTTACTGTCTCAGTATAAAATTACCATGTTCAGATTATATATTATTCTGCAAATACAAGTTTTATGCTTATTTATAATTCATCCAGACGAATGTGGCCAGCAGATAGTGTGCACTCAGTGCGCTGTGGCTGATTTAGCTCATCTAGATGTCACATGCAGATATATTTTCCCTGTGACAAATTGTTTTAAATTGGATTTTTCCTCCATATTTCCACCAAACTTTTAGCTGCTGTCGTCTCCTCTGTTTCTGTTGCTACAGTTGCTCCCGTCTTCAACTCAGTCATTGATGGTTAATGTAAAACACACTGCTAGAAACCAGATTTAAAACTCTAAAATACTGCAAAA